AAAACACCTGTGTGTACAATCAATCATATTAAAGGCAACGCCCGAATGTATGCAATGATTTTTGTACGAAAATTCACACACATACATACATACATAAAGCAACGCGCGCGCATCCAAACATCGGAGGAACATCCGTGGAAAATATATATATATATGTATGTGCATATATAGAAAAGGAAAAATCGCTGGAAAATGTGCAACTGAAAATGGAAAATCGAATTTGCAGCAGCATCAACCGGCACACACTTGCTCATTTCCCATTGAATCCGGGGGCTTTAGGTGTGTTTGTGTTTGTGTGTGTGTGTGTGTATTGGCGGGACGCCACTCTCTATGACTTTGAAAAGGTGCCTTTGCTGCGTTATTTGGAAATTTAATTATTTCACATTGCCAGCCACCAACCAACAAAAAAAAAAAAAAAGAAAGAAAGAAAGGAAATCTGAAACCCCAGGAAAAAACTGAGCTCCTGTATGAAGAGGGCAATAGAATGGGCCATTGATTGCGATGCCAGGCTGTTCTAGTTTTCGATATAGTACCCACCCGCTGCGTGAGTTTAAAGTCGAATCGAGGCCACAAAACGAACGCAATGATTCCCATAAGAACGGACTCCTGATGGAGCGTCAAAAGGAAAGACATTGCAAGTATTTGTATCGCCGGCTCCAATCAATAATCGATAAACACAATTTGTACACAATAAATGTGCCTTAAAATCAGTTTAAAGATAACAATAGTACTCAAAGAGTACAGGGGTATATTAAACCCGTATCAAAAATCGTGGAAAAACCAAACAAGAGTGGAAATAGTTTTAAAAAAAAATGGGTTTTCACTTACATTTTGACATTAATATGAAAATATTGGATTCAAACATATGTATTTTATATTTAAAATAAATACATTTCATATTTAAATTAATTATTTTCCTATTTAGAATGAATCTACTACGTAAAAATGTTTTTAGATTAAATTAAAAATATATTTTAGATAAATATATTTTTTATTTAAATTAATTATTTTCCTATTTAGTATTCAAAAATATCTTTAGATTAAATTTATTTCCTTAATTTTTTAAATTTATTTTAAAGTATTTTTTATTTAGATTTGGACTTAATACATTTATATTTAAATCCAAATACATTTTTGTAATTGTCGAGGCACTTGTGTCGTCACTGAAGACCTTTCTCCTAGGTTCTATTTATATCAAATCCACTTTTACAAGCAATTTCCATTTCCTGATTCCCAAAATCTACACTAATTTCTGTAAAATGAGTTTTTAAAGTTAAATGAATCAAAATTTGTGGCCACAATTAAGCAACTATTTCTCATTTCCTGAAGGTAAAAAGCAATGTTTTAAGAGTGCATAAAAATTAAATGAAATTCTTTTGGCTTGGAACGCAGGCGCCCGTTCCCTCGTTCGACGGAATTTCTGAACCAGCACCACAAATGTGTGTGTGTTTTTCGCTCCGAAATTATAAAATCCCTTAGCCCATGGCCGAAAATGAAACTAAAGTTGTGCTCTTTTTTGTTGAGAAAGGCTGTCGGCTTTCGGCTTTCACTGTATTTATTTAGAGCGTTCCTTGCTGGTGGAACTGGAACCCAAACAACCGAATGGAGACAACTTTTTTAATTAAGCAATATTTAAATCTCCGAGCAAAAGCAGCGCCCGGCCAAAAATCCCATCAAAACTTTCAACTGTAAACAAGAGAATTATGTTATGGGTCTGTCCAGAAATGGCCACATCCCCTGCTTAATATATAAACCCAGCCATGCCCCAGCAAACACACACACACACAAACAAGACCCCTGCAACCCGTGCCAACCGCTTTAACCCCTGATGGATATTGCCACAAAATCCATTGCCAAATATTCTGCATGTTAATTAATCTGAAGACAATCTCAATTTCTCTCGCTTCTCTCTCTCTCTCTCTGTGTCTCTCTGTCTCTCCCCTACCCAATTGTTAGGCCTTTCGTCGGAGGAGAAGCTGCACGGCGTGAAGTACATTACGGAATCCTTTGTGGGCTGCATACGCAACGTGGTCCTGAGCTCTGGCAAGGCTGCCTCCGATCTGCTGTCCATTGCCCCGCTGGTGGCCACCAAGCATGAGAACGTCAACGAGGGATGCTTTGATATGTGCGACTCTCGGCACAATCTGTGCTTCGTGGGCTCCCGTTGCATCAACCACTATGGGGGCATCTCCTGCGACTGCTTTGGCACCCACTACGAGGGTGAACACTGTGACATCTACAGTGAGTATTTCTCCCATTCCATCCCATCCCATGCCATCCATCTCCAGCCCCGTATCTGTATCTGAACATTGCCCCTAGGGGCGACATTTTGTTTTAATTATAAACTATGTTTGTTTGCCTTGCGGTTAGCCACTGGCCCTGCCCATGGCTGCCCCTCCACTCTTTGTCGCTCTCTCTCTCTCTCTCTCTCTCTCTTCTCTCCCTACAGCTACAGTTTTAAACACGCTAATGACCTGACCATAAATTATGCAAAATAGTGTTTGACTTTTTGACTGGCCGGCCTCCTCCTGGTCCTCAGACCCAGCAGCCGGCTATGACCAGGACAGGGCAGAATGTGCGCCAAATTAGTTTGTTAAGCTCCGATATATACTACCCCCCCTCCATACCAGAACTCTTTCAACCCACTTCGAAGCCTTCAACAACATCCGACATTTAGTTAATGACATAAAGCCAATTCCAGGCCGCCATAATCCCAATTAAGTCACGCGAGACCATTATATAGGCATTGCCCATTAAAAATTGAGCAGCTCGTTTATGTTTTTTGACATTGTAAAATGGGCGGGAATCACGATAGGCAGGGGGTCAACTGTTGTGCATTCGGTACAGGCACGTAATTGGGAGTTGAATTTCTGTTTTTGAACTCAAACCGAAGTTTGTTTACCCTTTTGCGAGGGGCTTACAAAACTACTCCTTTATCGGTCTCCCAAGAGACCAAGAACTCAATTGAATAGCTATATAAGCTGGAATAAACCTGAATTGTTGCTCTATGATGACTTCCTTATGATGTCATTCCTCCCAATTATAATCACTCCCAAAGATCAAAGATCATCTCATACCATAAGCCGATCAATCTACCAATTATCCATCCTAAAGATCTTCCTCAACGTTCAACTGCTGGCATCACTTGCAATCGTTTTTGTGCGAGGACCACTTTCAAAGATCATTTAGCATTACCCAATGATCCTTCTTAGTGTTCAACTGATTGGATCTTTCTTCATTGATCGCGGATCAGTTGGTATAATGAACCACCTTTTGAATGATCCCCACCAATGGTAAATCTATCCAAAGATCGAGAACTTTCCATGATCACTCTCGGCAATGACTGTCTTGGAATCCCAATCCCAAACACTTTATTATAGCACAGTGAAGGCACTCGGCAAATCCCAATTTCCAGTTAGAGGGCATAATGGGACATGCATTCTCTACAGATTTCGAGTACGATTGCATTCGCAATGTTTGCTAAAAATTTGCATGCAAATGATGGCCAGCACACACACACACACACACATACACAGTAAAAAAAAATCCCAACAAAAATCCCAACAGACTTTGCGGGTGGAAGCGGATTGAAATGAAGTGGATGTACGGAGGGAAGGGAGTGTGGCTAGAAGTGGAGTCCCGGGGAAGGACTCCAGCTATTGATGCAATCGACAGCTGCAAATTGCACGGTAAAAAAAAAAGCAGAGCTAACTGGCAGCCATGACAGCGATGGCCATTTTGCCCCTCTCCCTCCCTCCCTCTCTCTCTCTGTCTGTCTGTCTGTCTGTCTAAATGGCGTCTGTCAAGGACAACGAGCGACCGCCGTGACGTGCCAGTTTGTCGAGCATTTACAGCCCCGACTGGTGCTGGTGCTGCTGCTGCTGCTGCACTTGCAACCGATCACAATTATGTAACGAACGCCGAACGGCAAGTGCAAGCAAATTACACAGATGTAGTTGACGACGACCCCTGCAGTTCCTGTAGGGTGTGCGCTGCATGTTGGACGGCTTCTGCGAACGGAAACAGTGTCAGGCCATTAAAAGCGCACAAACACACCCACACCCACAGCCACAGAGAGAGGAAAGAAGTAGAGTCGTCCTAGCGGAGGCACATACAACACGAATTGGGGACATAATCAAACGCAGGCGCTTTTGTAATGCAATAACTAAAATGACAACTGCCAGTACAAGGACAAGAGCGCCTGTACCATGTAGCCCTACACCCGACCCCCCGCACCCGCACCCACACCCACACCCTCAGCGGCAACGGCGACGGCACCGGCACTTTCCCTCATTTCCATTGTACATTTTCCGTGCGAAAAGTCTCAGCGAAATGCATTCCTATTTTTGGGTGACAGGGAAATCATTAGCCCCACAAAAGCTGGGGGCAGGGGTTGCAGAAGGGGTGCAACAAAATTTTGTGAAAAGAGGCTACAAGATATTTCGGCTTCCGGCATGAACGAAATGAAATCCCAACCATGAAAAGGACAGCAAACAGACAGGACCGGAGAGGAGAGGGGTTCAGAGCATGTCCTGTCCTGTCCTGTACTGTACTGTACTGTACTGTCCTGTCAGATGTGATGCGGCCTCGAGCTTAGTTCAACTTGGGTTCAGATGGGAGTTGTCAGATGAACGGACAGCCGAAAGAAGTGCAGTTTTGGTGTCAGAAAATGCTAGATTTGATTAGGAACAGAACAGCATAACTATGGATGGGTGGAAAATCTCCTAAGTAGCACCTATGCTGGAACAATATCATATGGGTTCTATGACAAGTGCTAGAAAATTGAGAGAGGTCGCTGTCTGCTGTTTTATGACATTTCCCATTTACAGTCGACTCTTTTTCGAGATCAAAAGGCATAAGAACAGTAGTCTATGTATTGCCAGTTGTTCTAAAGAATATTTTTGACATCCTAGTAGTCGTCACATATTCAATCCCTCTCTAAGGCACTTTAAATCGTAGTTGTATCGTAGCTGAAGCAAAAGTTTTCACACAGTTTAAATTTGCTAGAATTCTGAAATTTGCAAGTAATCCAAAAGAACGATCACGATGGAACGTGCCGTCTCCTTGCCGGAGTTCCAGATGTTGGCCCCCACAAATATTAAGACCCGCTTGCAGTCCCAGATCGTGGCCAAGAAGCTGCTCTACAGCAGGCAGGCGCGCAAGTTGTTGCCAGCTCGACGGATGCCCACCTACGCGGAGTTTCAGCGTCTGATGAAGGAAGTGTATTCAGATCGCAGCCAGTTCAGAGACTGCAAGGGCAAGCCGTTGGGCAATATTGTGAGCATCTACAACAAGCTGGTGGAGATGCGGCAGGCGCAATGGGATCGCAAGCATCTGAGGGGCATCAAGTCTGTGATCAATACGCGGCTACCGAATCCGCATAGTGGTCTCATACTGGAGAGGACGTCGCTGTTGGAGAATCTGCAGAAGAAGCAGATCATCTTTCGCGATAATCTGGCACTTTTGAGGCGCATCAATAGGACCCAACGGCTGCACGGCGCAGTCGACTGCTTCAACACAACGTTTCAGAGATACTCATCGCTTAGGCACAGTAAACTGAAGCAGGCGGAGCGCTTGAGTCGGGACAACAGGGATCTGGGCTGCCGCCTGGCGATGGTAAAGTCAAAGGTGGACACCCACAATCCGTGGGTGCCGCCGTTGCCGCCCATCGAGCGGAAGGCCTCCCAGCAGACGTTGGTCAAGTACACGCCATTTCTACCCGCACCACAGGCGGGTCAAATCGATCCCCATACGCTGCTGAGACCCGTTCTCTACTACGACCTGGTGGTGGGCAACAATCAGCCGCTGGGCCGGATCGCCATTCAGCTGTACACGGAGGTCAGTCCGGAAGTGGTGCTGGAATTGGTGCGCCTTGCCACCTACAACGATGTGCGGGGCCACCGATTCCTGCGCATCTTCGCTGAACTTTGGATGGAGGGTGAGCTGGTCCTCGGCTCGAGCGATGCCCTGCGCCACCATCACAGCATCAGGCAGTCGCAGCTGGACCACACTCGACTGACGGGATTTCTCTCCTATCCGTGGGACTATCACCATCATTTCCCGCAGGGACTGCTCAACTACACCATTAGCTTCAAGCCCCTGGCTGTGGTGACGCTGCGGCGTGTCGTCTTTGGCCGCGTGTTTGGCGGTCACAGAGTGCTTCAACTCTGCCAGGCGTATGGCACCAAAAACGGCAAGCCCAAGAGTCGTGTGACCATCGCACAGTGTGGGTTGCTCTAATGGGAGTCCCCTGTCCCAGTTCCCTGCTGCTTGCCGCCTGCCGACTGCCGCCTGCCGCCTGTCTCATTATCCTTGTGCACCTCTATTAGCATAAAGAGGAGTGGTGCATTAAAAAAAAAAACTGTAGCACACTTTTGTGGGCCAATGCTGCAGAAAACCTCTCGCTCTCCAACAAAATGCAAATAAAAATTATGAAGTGTATGTGCATTTATCTCATCTGCGTGCTAGTGTGTGTGTGTGTGTGTGTGTGTGTGTTTGTGGGTGTGTGCGAGGTGGTTGTGTGATACGTTATCACGTGGTCGTGGGCGTGGGCGTAGGTGTGGTCCACGTGTGCCGTGTCAGATAAGCCGGCCAACACGCGGCTGCTGTCGCTTTCCACCAGAATCAGCAGCAGCAAAAAAACCCGCGCCAGAATGAATGAAAATTGCGAGTAACACGATTTGCACATTTTGGTCCGTGCAACATGGACCAGGACGAGGACGAGGACCAGGACCAGGACCAGGAACCCGGACAAGAGCATCAGGCGAACGCGCAAAGGCCGCTACCATAGACCAAACAATATAATCTATTTTTGTGGGGGCCTCGGACGCTATTTTTTTCACTCGTTCATTCGTTCATTCTGTGTGTGGCAGGCAGATAATGCACCAGTGGCACGGGGGATCAAAAAAACATGAGAAAGAAAGGATACTATACAGGCCGTAGCAGGAAGTACTCTTCGAGAAATGTTTGGGGATATATAAGATTGAGGGAAATACATCGATTGTTACCTTTAAAGCTACAGATCGGTATAATAATTCGATTCTAGAGCTTCGTTTTCTTCGGAAAAAGAGTGGTCTGTGCGAGAATAGAACTCAATATTTGTGTTTATGGGTATAGAGAACATCCAACTATTAAGTAGTTGATCTTCAATGAAATTTAGACCATAGTCTGCATAGTCCTTTCCCTATAATAAATGTATAACTCCTTTTGAAGGGTATTCAAAAGACAGAACGTTGTTTAAATTTGCTCGTTCTTTTATGGTAAGCTGCACACAAAATGGAAGCCGAAAGCAAATATGCTAAAGGTTGAATTAAGCCTGGCTCGCTCGCGCTCTCTGCAAAGAGAGAGAGTGGAGATTAACAATTCCTTATGCAATCGATACCCTTTGACTTTCAGCGGCCACCATAATCACGCTGCGCGGTGCCAGTTATGTGTCGTACAGGATCTACGACTGGAAGGATCGCGTACACTCATCGACGATGCGGATTAGCCTGATGTTCCGGACGAACTTTGACGATTCGGCCCTGTTCTACGCCAGCGGGGAGTCGCTTAAGCATCAGTACATAGCGGCGGCCATCAAGAACCAGTCGATTCATGTGGAGATGGACTTTGGCGACCATGTGATGGCCACAGTGCTCACCGATGACCTGACCCGCGGCTACTGGCACAATCTGACCATCCTGCATGAGCAGCGTACGGTGAGCATTATCTTGGATCAACAGCAGAAGGTGCTCGAGCTGCCGGCCACGACCAGCGGTAACCTGCTCTTCGATCCGGAGATCTACTTCGGTGGCGGCCCCGAGCTGCACAAGAAGAAGGGCTTGGCCTCGCACAACAACTTCGTGGGCAGCATGAAGTACGTCTACTACAACGACATCTCCATTCTGTACGAGCTGCAACGTGGCAATCCGAAGATGCACTATCATGGTGAGTCCCTGGATCGGTGTTGGCTAGTCACTTATCTGGTGTGTGTTTGCAGGTGTCCTGGAGGCGGAGTTTCTGGAGAACGAAGTGAACGTCATACCCATAACCTATCCCTTTGCGACGTCACACATTTGGTGGCCCATAAATCACGCCGAAGAATTTAATATTAAATTCGATTTCCGCAGCAGTCGGCCAGGCGCTGTCCTGGCCTACAGTGACGTAACGACCAGTGCCGGAAATGGCTTCTGGGAGGTAAGTGTTCGTTCAAGCATTCAACCATATATGGTGCACACAAACACACACATATGCCGTACATACGTGCAACATTGCTCGAGCTTATGAACTGCTCAGGACTGCCTGGACAGACGAGCGCTGACGCTGACATGCTGCTTAAGACGGGACTTAGCAAAAGGCAAGAGAAATGGCAGAGAAATGGGGCATATCGTTCGAAAGGTGAGGCCCTGCCAGAGAGAGAGAGACGTGCTACTTAAGACGGACTTAGCAGTAAAGTATTGCTGATGAGAAAAAGCCTCAAGTTCCTTTACACGGAATGCCTTACCTCAATAGAATTACTACTTGGACGGAGGTCGAGCTGCCACAGAGGAGGCATCCACCGAAGCAATGGCAAATGAAATGCAAATCAAATGTGTGCATGTCTGTGTGTGTGTGTGTGTGTGTGTGGGCTTGCTGGCTCGTGTATATGGAACTTGCATCGCATGCCTGTTCAAAATGTAACCTCTCTCCTTACCCCCGCTCCGCCATTACGGTGGCAAATCCCTGGCTATACAAGGCACACGCACACGAGAAGGTAACCAAAAATCCTAAGGCATGTGGAGAATGCAATTAAATTTAAGCGTGGCTGAGTGAAATTTGACTCTCTGAATGAAATGCAATGAAAAGTAAAATGTGGCTTAGTCGTAATGTAATCGTTTTTATTATTGTTTCCCCTTGAGTCCAACACCAAGCCAATAATTTGAAGCGTTTCAAGGCAGAATCCACATCAGGCCAATAGCATATAACCAATCAGCCAATTGAGTATATCAATGTCTATGCTATATATGCTATTGGCCTGATTGCAATGGTCTTCAGTTTCGAAGAACTCTTGAAGCCATCGAAATGACGGTCAGGAAAGGGACGATTGTAGATCAGTAATGTGCCCTCGTAGTCGATCGTATAACGTACTCTGTCCAGACTTTCGAATGTGCTGCAGATATTCGTGTAGCCAAATCTAGTACCAATGTCTTCCCATTTACGAGCCAGTCGATGCTTTGGAATCACCGGGTTGTACTCGAAGTATTTGATCATCAATTAGTAAATTATATTAAACATCATGTAGAGTAAACACTGGATAAATCCATGCGGCCATTGCTCCAAAGCTGCGAAGATATGAATATGTATAGTCGAGTGCACTAAAATGATGTTTACTTACATTTGCTGCAGCAATGGGGTTTCCTCTCAATCGTTGCAGAAGGCAAACTTCATGTTTCGAATTTGATAGCAGGAAACTTGGGAAAATCAACTAGATGAAATATTTTGACCTACATCCGGGACGCCTAGGCTTAGGAAGAAGAAGGTGGTGCTTATAGCAGCCAAAGTGGTAGAGCAAAGGCCTGGATTATGGGGCCTTAATGGCAAAGTGAGCCATTGCACTTCCAGTACCACGTTGTGGAACTTCTGAATCGAACCATTTTTTGGCAAATATCCAATCATACAATCAATGAGAAATAGACTCATCATCCCAGGGTACAGCAGCAACAGAGAAGGATCGAGAAGACGGCTTTCGAAAGAACGGGCATCCGTGCGATTGAGAAACAAGAGGGGTAATGGGAGACGGATATGGTGGCAACGGGAGCAGATCAACTAAAGATGGCGGAAGCCATGTGTTCCCCATTTCATACCCGTGCAACCACACTGTGTACCATAGCGAAACGTGGCATGGCCCGCTAGTATATTAAATTTATTTTAAAGATTTTGTTTTTTTGTGTTTGGTGTTTTTTTCTTTTTACTGTGCCAGATTTCTCTGAGTGTAGGCTTTGTTTGTACTTTTTGCTATCAGCAAGATCTCTCTGCTTATATGTATGTATTTCCTGATTCCCTTTGGGGTCTTATCTGCTCTGCTCTTTGCTTTGCACACACAGAAATTGCAGATGGGATGCAGAGAGCACACACACCACACACCACTCACGACTCAGACGGCACTGCAGCTTCTTTATCTCACTCTTTTCGTATGTACAGCTATTCTCTGTGGTTCCCACTGCCCCCCTTTCTCTCTGGGTTTCTCTTTTTATAGATCTAAGTGATTGCGCCACAAAAAAGAAATACGCACAGAATGAACGAAAGAACGTCCATCAGGATATTAACCAGAATAGCCTCAAAATTGTTTCTGTCCTCTGAATGTCGACCATCCGGGCAATTTATTTGAAATAACAATTTTTGTAGATTTATGTCATTGCCGCCGCATAACAATTGAAAGCAAGTTAAATGTTGCCATGAAATGACAATTTATAACCAGAGAGCAATTCCAAAAAGAGAACCACCATACAGAATGGGTGGGCCCAGCGGGAGGGGGGAATAAAACAGATTGGGGTCCAGCATAAAAGTGCGTGCAATCGATCACAAAAACAATTCAACAGTTTAAGGCCTGTTAGGGCACCAGAGTCCATTCCCTGGCAGCTCTCCTCTGCATCCCGTTCCACTCTTGCATTTGACTTCAATGCCAGCATGTGTGGACGGACATACACTGAGCGAATTGGTACATACAAATAACCAAAATATACATAGCTCCCATGCAACTGATGGAACTTTTCTTCAGTGCACTTTGACTTCTTCGCCCGCATCTCTTCTGTGTGCGTGTGCGTGTGCGTGTGTGTGTGGGTTGATGTTTCTATGAATGTCCGTAGCATTTATCTGTATTTAAACAAATAAACCTCGTCTTGGCCTGGCCGAAAACGTTTATTTGGTTACTTGGCATTTTGGAAATGTACTAAAAGGGAATATGCACACACACTCAAATGCATGCATGCATACACAGATGGAGATGTGTGCTTGTGTGTGTGTGTGTGTGTAGCGTATATTTATTTGCATTTTATTGTTGATTTTGTTCCATTTGATTGCAAGACTCTCTCCCTCTCCCTCTCTCTCTCTCTCTCTCTCTCTGTGTGTGTGTGTGTCCAAAATAAACTGATGCAGAACCTGACTTATTGGCATTGCAATAAAATGCTGCTGTAATGCCCAATGAATATTTATGCCGATAGCTATTTCATTTTGCATCGAGAGCCCTATAGGGCTTTTTTGGCACCGGCCAGGCCCACGATTTATGCGCACCCAAATTAATACTAAATTGATTGTGTCAGGTTTTATAATATGACTGCTGAATTCTGTACCTTTTTCGGTAAATAAGTCAAAACAATAGCGCAGTCTGTCGTACGTACTATCTATCTATTTGTTAACTACATATCCTATCTGCATTTTTGGGCGCGCACTTCAAAAACGCATCAGTTACGAGGGATT